TCTCTCTCTCTCTCTCTCTCTCTCTTTTTCTTTTCTATTTTGTTTTGGTACTGGGGATTGAACCCAGGGCACTTAACCACTGAGCCACATCCCCAGCCCTCACATCAACTTTCTTGAGCTGCACATGGAAAGCATAGTGACTAGTGACACCCTTAGGGGTCTCCCCTCCAAGTACTAACCAGGCCCGACCCTGCTTAGCTTCCGAGGTCAGACGGGATCGGGCGAGTTCTGGGTGGTATGGCCGTAGACGACACTCTGAGGAACAGCCACCCCAGAAAGGCCTGGTTGATCTGCTTCTGCTGGCTGGAGGTGTCCAGGCAACACCGTCATGCTGTGGAAATGATCCCTGGCCTGGTCTCCTCAGGGTGGGTCCAGGGTGCTTCTTGGGAAGCTCGGCAGGGACCCCACTCAGGTGTGGAAGGTGCACATGCACCAGTGAGCTGGCCTCACCCATCAGACGGGAAGGCCGGGTGGGAGTCCAGGGGGCAGTGCAGACCACAAGAGAAGGCACAGGACGAAGCAAATGATGCTTGTCCCACCTCAAGGAAATGGAAGCGCCTCGGTGCCCAGAGCCCCCCACCAGGGTCAAGACCTGAAGCTGGCACCCCGGGGCTGTGGTCCTGAGGAAGCAGGGAGGAGCCACCCCATCCCAGAGGGACTGCCGCTCCTCGCTCCCACGATTTCCCACTCTGCACAGGTGCCAGGTTTTCTGCCTCTCCAGCATGCCCTTGAGGAAGTGTGATTTGGGTATTGATTGAGCACCTGGAATGTTCCGGGCATAGGGCCAGAGTGTCAGCCAGTGAAGACCCGCCCCTGCCCTCATGGGACACACAGACTGGGCAGACAGACACTGTCAAATGAAAAGCGCAGCTGCCAGGGGGAGGCAGGAGCAGGGAGAGGTGGGACCCTGGGTGTTCGGGACCCAGGCTGGACCACACCGAGCCAAGGGACTCTGAGGCCAGCACCTCCGCACCACAGAGCTCCTCGCTTCTGAAACATCCATCAGCAATGTCCCCAGTGGAGCCTGGACCCGTGCGTCACCTCATTCATTCAGAGAAAACGTGTGGTGAACTCGGGTCTCTGCCCATTTGAACTGGAAAAACCAGGATCATGGTGTGAGACTCAGGTGGGGACAGCTGGCCCTGGCCCTGGAGTTCCAGGGTGAGTGCTCGGGACATTGTGAGCTCTATTGGATATAAAACCCAGACTCTCCCCGCCCCATGGGAGACCCCACCATTCAAATTGCCCTGAAATGAATGTTCTTGAGTGGTGTCTGCTGCTGTCACTTTGTTTTGAGGGACATTGCTTCAGTGATCCTGTTTCCCTCCTGGGTTTGATGTGGCCTGGCTGAGAGTGGGACACCGTGAGAAGAGGTGCCCTCTATGCCTGGTCCTTCTGCTGGGGTCTCTGTGTGTGAGGACAGGCGCCCACAACCGTTCTGACTCTGGCCCTCGCCATGCCCAGGCAAGCCTGTGAAGTGGCCTCATCTGGACACTGAGTAGAGGGGATTCCTAGATCACTCCGTGTGCTGCTCTGGGGCACTTGTTTTTGAAAGAGTTCAGCTGTGAACTGAACTTCCACTGAAATCTCTTTAGGAGGGGCTCTGTCCAGTAGTTCTCAACCCTGCCTGTCAGTGGTGACATGGAAGGTGCACACACCCCTGTTTATTGGTGTGCCTTTCCACACTGACCTCCGGTGTCGGACACCATGGGAGAGCAAAAGTTCTGCAGGGGTCCTGGGTCCATCCTCAGCCCAGGCCCTGCAGCAACCATGAATGCTTTTAAAATTCTCTAATTTTCAGATAAAAGTTGTATTTTATGCAAAAAGAGCTCCATCTGTTTGACTCACCCTTTTGTGCCAGGCGCTTTATGGGAAGGGCACAGCCACATGACAGCTTTTCTCTGACCTGACCCCAGACCTGGCCCAGGCTGCCACCTAGTGGGAGCTGGTGGTGTGACGGCTCCCTGGGCCTGAACTGGGTCCCCCTGGGCTCTGTTAATTTCTGGTGTTGAGGAACACGGGGACATCCGTGTATCCCTTCTAATTTGGAAAACAAAGTGGAATTTGCTGTGATGTGCTGAACAAAGATTAGTTAAGTATGCATTTTCTATCTTTCATTGAGAGCTTAATTTAAAATGTTTTTCCTACATGGTCTCCACTTAAAAAATACCCCCCATTTCACATTCTGAGTCCATTGCACACCTCAGAGCAAAGACTTTTTTGTTTGTTTATAGAATGAGCCACTATGGTTTTAGGGCTTTTTAATTCCTTGTTTGGTATTTTACAAATACCAGAGAGAGAAAATGCAGAACAAAGGGCCCTCCCCTCGCCCCCCCCCCATAAAGCCAGCTTCATTGGTCTGCCATCCATTCCTCTTCATCTTTTTTTGCAAGAAATTCTTTAAAAAAAAAAAAAGGCAAAAAGCAGCCACCTGGGGTGGGCCTTGTAGGCATGGGTGCCTCTGTAAGGGAACCCGCGGTTCGGGAGATGGTTCTTGGTGCACAGTCCCCCTCTATTGCCAGGAACAGTAGAAAAGGAATGGGTGTGATGCAGAGAGCAACCAATGGCTGCCCGTGGAGATGGTCCTTTATGCCCCATCCAGAGCTAGGCCACCCTTGTCTTGGTCCTCTGTTCCACAGACTCAGGAAATAGGTCCCCGCAGAGTAGGTGCTAGACAGTTTGCTGACATTCTAGTTTGGATGAAGTTTCAGCAGCATTCTCATTCCCACGTGGAGAGAAAACCACACTTGAAATCGTCCTCAAAGCTCAAGACTCTGGGTTCTTCCAGAGATGATGAGGTACAACCATCTGGTTTGGGGTCTGCCTCAGCACCCCCAAAAGTGGTCAGGCCAATGTGGCATGCACATCTGAAAAGTAATGACTCCAGTGTGCTTTCAGACACACGGGGCAAGCGTCGGCCATGGCACGCGGTGCCTGTCATTACAGAGCCACCGTCTTTACCAGGTCTGATGGCGCAGCCTTGGGTTGAAAGGACATCCGGAAAGCTGCATAGGAAGCGTCATGAGACACAGGCCTCTGCCTGGTCCCTGGAGGACAGCGGCCATGGCTAAGTGGGAAGAGATGCTCTGGGCAGAGGGACCACCAGGAATAAAGCCCCTGCCCCAGCCCAGGGGCTTATTTAACAAGCTGGGGAGTGAGACTCGGTGGCCTGTCTGCTCTTAGGGTGCCAAGGAGACAGATGAGCACAAAGCTCATGCTGAATCCAGGAGTGTGGAAGGCAGGTGAGACCACAGGAGGCCTCAGGACAGCCCCGGGTGAGCCTGGGTCTGTGGAGCAGCAGACCCTGGGCATCACCAACCTGCACTCAGCCAACCTCAGAGCTTCCCTCCCTTGCATTAAAGGAGGGTTCCAGGTGATTCCACTTGATCCCCAGGTTGGCTGATGCACCAAAACTCTTTGCCCTATTATTTTAGTCTCAGGTGTCTCACCCTTGGAGAGGAGTTGCCACAAAAGTGGCAGTCAATGGGCCTTCTTCTTGGGCACTGATGATGAGGGCCTGGTCTTCTGGCCCATCGAGGATGCGTGGTGGGCAGATAGGAAGTGGTCATTTGGAGGAGGCCGTCTTGTGCCATTTGTGAGAACCTGTGCAGAGAGGGACATTGGTGTCCCTGCACCAGCATCATTCTGAGCTGTCTGTGTCCATAAGTCCAGCCTTGGACAGAGCTCAGTTAAGATTCCTGGAACTGAAGTCCAAACTGCCCATTGTGTAAAATGCAGGGGTGACCGCAGTGTCTCTAGCCACCATCCAGATGGGCGAGTCAGGGGTGTGACCTGCGTTTGCTGTTTGCATCTTTGGCTGATGCTCTGGCTACCAGAGGTAGCACCAGGGACCTCAGAGGGAAAAGCAAGAAGGTGGACACCTAAAGAGAAGTGCAGCAGGTGGGGAGGGGAGCTTCACCAGGCCAGAGAGGACTGGGTCTCTTGTTGGATGAGAGCAAAGAAAGCAGCAGCCCCAATGCCATCCTCAGCCTCTGTTCAAAAGGCCCTGGGCTTGACCCCATGCACACCTCCTGGTAGCACCAGAGGATGCTCCCTGCCCCACTGCCGCCCGGATTCCCATGGGGAAATGGGAGAGGGGCCTCCAGGAGACCACCTCCGAACAGGAAAGAAGGCAAAAGCCAAATTCCTGGCTGTTGTTAGTTTACAGAGGAAGTTAATGTTTTGTTTTATCATCTTATCCCCTAAGTTCATATCCATTTAATGCTTTGAAGTATTTGATATCTGTCCATTGTCTTTTATAGGTTGAAGAGAGACCAGAGAAAGATTTTGCTGAGAAGGTATGGAATTTCTGTGTCAGCCTCTGCCATGCACTGTTCATCAACCTGGAGGGTCCCAGAGCTCCCCTTTGGAACTGAGAAGCAAGCGTGTTGCTTGGTGTTTAGTAAAGACGTTGGACAGTGCATGACAAGGCCGGGAGAGAGGGCCACCCCCATGGCGTCACATCCCCACGGGGTCCCTGTTCGCGTGCCGTGTGTGTTGGACAGTGGAGGCCCAACACGGCTAGGCCAGACAGAGCCCCTGGTGCCCGTGAGCCCTCAGAGCAAACCTGCGAGTCACTGTTGCTCCCCACACGCCCACAGATGACCCCCCATCGGGAAGTGGAGTTAGCGTGGGGCTGTGCGCCCTTGGGCTCATCGGGAAGGGGGGTTGTGTCTGCATCACGTTTACCTCACACTTTGCAGGGGTCTCGCAACATGCCGGGCTTGTCTGCAGCCACGCTGGCCTCCCTGGGTGGAACATCTTCCCGGAGAGGAAGCGGAGACACCTCCATCTCCATTGACACGGAGGCCTCCATCAGGGAGATCAAGGTAAGGCGGCGCTCTGCCATGGCGGGAAGGGGCCTTTTGTGAAAATCCGTCTTCCACTAAAAGGAGTGTTTGTAAAGCTCTGGATCTTTCTTCGAGGTCCTGTCTCCTTTGCCTCCCCTAAACAGTATCTCATAACAGCAAAAGGCAGTGCAGAAGGTGTCTCCTGACCCCATCTCACCCACCAGGGCAGACTGTGTGCCCATCCTCACGCCCTCCTTACCAGCCACGTGCTGTTGGTGGGGTTGTTCATCTCTGGGTTCTGCTACGTTTTTTGGAGTATTTGGACACTCGCTTGCTGCTCACAGACCTCACCAGGCCTGGCACACAGCCTGGCCTCTGAATATCCCCTCCCTCTCTCTGGAACGTGCCCTTACGTTCTATTTATACTGTGCCCTCGCAGGCCTCATTGTATCTTAGTGACTTTTTTCCACTAGAAGGTGGATATGACATATCCCTGGCATCGAGGACGGTGCCAGGCACTTGGTAGCATTCTCTGTGAGCAAAAGAGAAACAACCTAGTGGTATTTGTTCAAGTACCTAGGGCCACTGTGGCTGCAGGAGGGCAGGCCAGGTAAGCAAGCCTTGTGTCCTTCAGAGGACAGAACCAAGACACCGGAGCTGAGGCAGCTGGGCTGGGCTTCTCCTGTGGAGGGACTTTATAATAGTCAAAGCTGGTTAAAAGGAGGGTCTGCTCCCCTGGTGATGTCTGAGCCGCTGGATGTCGTTTGCCCAAGAGGACAGAGAAGGATTTCAGCATCCACTGGAGGCTGGACTGGGTTACCTTGAAATTACCTTCCAAAGTCTATGTATTATGAGTATCTGAAACCAGAACAGATTTTCTTTGGAGGGTAGGGGTCCTGGGATTGAACCCAGGGGCACTTTACCATTAAGGTAATCTCCAACCCACCCCCCGCTTTTTTTTTTTTTTTTTTTTTGAGACAGTTTCTTGCCACGTTGCTGAGGCTAGCCTTGAACTTGTAATCCTTCTGCCTCAGCTTCCCAAGTCTCTGGGATCACAGGTGTCTCTGTAGCCTCTCAGCACATGGTGCCCGTCTCTCTGTCCTGGAGGTAAAGCTCTGTGCAGTCCTGTTTTGTCTCAGCTCTTAGTTTGTGAGCACCGTTCATCCGTCCAGCAAGCTAGACTTGCTGAGAGTCTGGCCCATGCTGGACGCTGTCCCAAGCCCCAGGATTTGGGGGGTGAACGAGACACGCCGGCAGGCATGGAGCTCCATAAGAGAAAGTGCTGCCGACTCCTGCGCCTAGCACCTTGCTGTGTCCTGCGCAGAACCAGGTCTCTCGGTGCCTGGATGGATTGCTGAGTAGGCGGCAGAGTGCTGGTGCTATTTCCAGAAGTTCCAGTTTTTAAAACTATAACATCATAAAAGGTACACCCAAATTTTATAAAATAGTGTAAAAATATGAGACATACCTAAATCTTAATCTTTGTAGGATTGATGTTTATTTTATTTTCCCTTAACATTTCAAAGAGAAAATGTACACTCAGGCCACCCGAATAGCAGACGCTGCTCAGGCGCCTGAGCTTGAGGTGTGTGTGATCTCTGCTGATTTTCCTCTTTGACGTCATTTGCCTACTGTGCCATTTCCCCCAGGAACTCAATGAGTTAAAGGACCAGATTCAGGATGTAGAAGGCAAATACATGCAAGGACTGAAAGAGATGAAGGTACCAGTTTACAGAAGGGTGGGCTCACGGTACTAACCCACCCTCACTTCAGAAAATCCCACAGAAGAAGTTCCAGGTGCACGCCCAGTCTGAAGAGGCCCAGGCTGTGGATGAGCTTGGAGTGGCGGGCATGCCTGCGTGATGTGTCCCCTTCTCCCAAATGCAGCGTCTGAACCCAGTGTCAAAGGTGCAGCGCCCCCATGGGAAGGCCACCCACACAGCCCGATGGTCTTGCGCTCACCACCCTACCCCAGACCTGCACCCCGTCTCTCATTTCCCTCTGGTACAGCAGAGTGTGGGGAATGTCCTTGGTTCCCTTTGCTTTCTGAAAGCATAGGGAATGTGCTTCCCTTGATTTGCTTCTCAGAACATCTGGCGTCCACCAGCAGGGCCATCCTAACACGCATGCCTTTGAAGCATCCGGACTGTTTGCATGCCATGCAGTCACAAGTGAAGCAGTAGCCAAATCTGTGTCTGAGTGTGTGCACGCTCCTTTCAGAACGGGGAGTTCCTTCACTGTGCCTCAGGAGACTTGGTTGCCCTGTCCCTTGACAGTAGGTGAGAGGTTCCACAGAGGCGTCATCCAGGAGTGTGACAGGCACACCCTCCAGGCAGCTCAGGGCAGTCAGGAGGAAGCAAGAGCTGGCAAATCTGTTACTTCCTTTTTGGCTCTCAGACAGTACCGAAAATTGTCTAAATTCAGTGTCAAAGGACACCAAACAAAGGAAGCCACACACGTCACATGACTGAGTCCTCGTTCTCTTTATTGCCACCTCTATTTCCTCCAAAGGGAGGAAATGGAGACTCTGGCTTTTGACTTAAGTAAAATGGGAGCGAGCGACGGGAGCCACTGTTCCTGCCCACAGCGTTGCCCTGGTTTGACCTGCAGGGCTTCACCAGCGGAGTCCTCAGGCAGCTCCGCACGGCACCCTCTGCTCCTGGCCACGTGTCCCCCACCTCTGTCTTTAGCCCTGCGCAGTTTGCACCTGGTGACTCCACCCTCTCTCTGGCAGCACCTTCCCATAGTCATGTGCGGGGGGAGCTCCTCTTGCTGGCCTCTTTCCCTGGGCTGGGAATGAACTGTGTCCTTCCAGGACTTTTCCAGTGAGACGTGTCTGCCTTGTTTCATTTCCTGATGGGTCAAAATCGGAGTTACTGTCAATCGTTTCCTGGTGCGTGAGGCAGAACTGGGGTGGCTGCATTGCTTGTGGTGGGGTTTAGTCTCCCCCAGCCACTGGCTCTTTCCCAGATTCCAGCCACATGTCTCCAGGGATGACTTTAGGAACCTGTTGAGCAGCCCTGACACCTTGGTGGGAAGACTGGCTGCTCCCGTGAGCGGCCCCTGGCTTGCACCCTGTGTTCCTCCTGCCCAAATGAAAAGAAAGTCAAAAACAAATCGTCTGCACAGTGAGAACTCGGTCACCTTGAAAAGCGGGATTTCCGTGTGTGGCATTGCCATGTGCTTCTCACTATGACACATTTTCCCTAAGAAATGACGTCTACACTAAAGGCTGAGTCTTGGTGCTACTTTTAAAGAATACCAAATTAATCTTTGTTTTGACTTTCTTATCACAATTTCAAAACTATGCTCCGGTTTCTGCAGGACTCACTAGCAGAAGTGGAAGAGAAATACAAGAAAGCTATGGTTTCCAACGCCCAGCTAGACAACGAGAAGACCAACTTCATGTATCAGGTTGACAACCTGAAGGACACGCTGCTGGAGCTCGAGGAGCAGCTGGCTGAGTCTCAGCGGCAGTACGAAGAGAAAAGCAAAGTAAGCTGTGGTGTGTACAGGGCTCGGGGGCTGTGAACGGGCTGCCAGGGGCCCGGGAAACTCCTGCAGCTGAAGACATGCCATGCTCTTTGCCAAGTGCCTTGAAAGGTTGGCTGTCATTTCAACACGTAAAGCAGAGGCAGTTTTACTAGAGAAGGTCTTTGTTTTACGTGGAAGGTGCTATCCTAACCATGGATAAGCATGCTTGCAAAAGAACCAACATGCTTGGAAAAGGCACAGTTAGATGATTCCTATTTTCCTATGGGCATACATTTTCTGTTGCTTCTCAATACCATAGAGAAATAGTTAAAGGTATCAAAGGTGTTAAGAAAATCGTTTTTATTTTTTGCTGATGGGGAGACATGGTTTCTCCATTTAAGAATTAAATACCTTTATTTAAGCTCAGAGAAGAGTCTCATTTGCACTTGCACTAAGAACCACTGGGATTGGTTTGCTGTTAACTTATGTTATTGGCGTCAGCCTGTTAAAGTTAATGACAGTAGACCTTCTGGGGTAGCGGAGCCCAGCCGTTCTTCAGGAGGAAGGAATACTTGGGTTCTGTTTGTTTCAGTGGTACCAGGGTTGAACCCAGTGATGCTCTACCACTAAGCTACATCCCCAGACATTTTTATTTTTAATTTTTGAGACAGGTTCTAGCTAAGTTGCCCAGGCTGACTTTGAACTTGGAATCCTCCTGAGTAGCTGGGATTATAAGTGTGCAACACCACACCCAGCTAGGAATACTTGTTTTTCCTATTTGTAGGAATTAGCTGGTTTATCAAACCCTAGAATGTCATCCAGTTCTTTGGAGAGTATTCTGAGATGAACAGAGAATTTAATATGTGAATGTCATCGTCATCTTTTAAACCGATTGTATGGTCAGAATCCCAAGTATTAAAACCAAGGTCCCATCACCAACTCAAAGGAAGGCCTACTTCTTTGCCACAGGATCATGTTAGAAGCTAAAAGGAATTTTGCACACAGTTCCTGACAGCCGAGCTCTGAGAGAGTCTCATGAGGCCCGAGGACATGGTGGGGGTGAACAGAGGCGCGCTGTGGGCCCCAGTGCTGGCAGGCACGGTGGAGCGTTCAAACCCTAGACCACCACCCTCAGGCCCCATGAAATGGAACGCAAACCCTCAAGCCTAACTCCAGAAGCTGGGTGGTGCTAAGATGTGCTCCCACGATGGGGACAGGGGTTGCCAAGGTGGAACCCTTCCCAAACAGCCTGCCTACGCAGATCCAGGGACGTTAGTAGTGGTTGTGCCACCGTGTGGGCTGCAGAACAGAAAAGCTATGTGGCCCGTTCCCTGGACTGGACCTCTTGCAGGGGCTGGACGCGGGGCAGGGTGCCCTGCAGGCACTGTGTTTGCCCCCTCCGCCCTCTCCTGCCTTGTCTTAGGAGTGGCAGCTCTGGTGTGGAGTCGGCAAGGAGGCTGCTCAGATCCCCTATTTCCACAGTGATTTGCTTTTCAAATCGGGCATCATTTTTCCTGGCCCTGTGCAGGGCTCCTCATCCTGCCCGGCTCCACATGGCCCTGGGGACCCAGAGAGGAACCAGGAAGCTGCGAAACTCCTCAGGTTGACTTTACAGACTTCTGAGGGAAATGCGTGGGGACGTGCTAGGGTGACAGAACAGGCCTTTCCTCCCTGCAGGAGTTTGAGCGGGAAAAGCACGCCCACAGCGTACTGCAGTTCCAGTTTGCTGAGGTCAAGGAGGCGCTGAGGCAGAGGGAAGAAATGCTGGAGGTAGGTGGCAGTTTCCTTTCCTTTCCTTTTGGAGTTGGAACATTTGTTGGTTTTAGCTCAGACGGGCTCAGTCTTGCTCAGACGGGTTCAGACGGGCTCAGCCGGGCTTCCCTCAGGCCAGAGCTGCGCCTCACCCTCTCACAGTGCTGGAGACGGGAAGTTCCAGACGAGGCCTCCCACTGTGGCCTCCTTGCTGTGTTCTCACATGGCAGAGGACACTCACCCTGTCAGATCAGGGTCTCACCTGCCTGACCTAAAGGCAAGTGCCTCCATGGGTGAAGAGTCTTATTCTCTTGGTGGTGGTGTGCTTGTTTGGGGACACGTGGTAGACAGAACAGTGCCCCCCGCCCCAAAGACGCCCACGTCCTGATCCCTGGAGGTTGTAGGTGTGTTGCCTGACACAGCAGAGCGACTGTGCAGAAATGACTAAGGTAAAGGCCTTGGGGTGTTAACCAGGGCCACTGCTGGGTCTGATACGATCACAAGGGTCCTTGCAAGGAGAGGCCAAAGTAGGGGACGTCAGACCCAAGCAGGGAGTGGAGTGATGTGAAGAATGGCCAAGGCCAAGGTATGTCTAAAAGGGTTCTAGAAGGGGAAAAAAGCAAGACCATCTCCCCTGGAGCCCCCAGGAAGGAACACAGGCCTGCCCCTACCTTGATTTTAGCCCATAAGATTCACTTTGAACTTCCAGTCTCCAGAACTGTAAGAGAATAAATTGATGTTGTTTTAAGCCATTTAGTTTGTGGTGATTTGTTACAGCAGCAAGAGGAAACTAATACAGTCATGTACCACGTGACATTTCAGTCAGCAGTGCACCACAGGTACAACCCTGGTCCCACAGTATATCAGCTAGTGTCATTGTAGACATCTTGCTCTGTGTCAGCCCACTCTGTGGTATTTGCACAGTGAAGATGTCATCTCACAATACTTTTCTCACACTGAATCCACGATGTCCAGCAAAGCACAACTATATGGGGTTGGGTTTTAATTTTTAAGTTAATCGGTACTTTAACTGGTGACTTTGGGGTGAGAATTCACCATGGCAGGTTTTCTCCCTGTACTTCTTAGAGCTGAGAGTAAAGCAAGGGAAAGCCCTCGGATACTGTTGAGCTCAGGGCTGATGAGGTGAAACGGCCCCCTGTGGACTCAGCTGTCCGAGCTCTCCGGGTATCCAGCACCGGGCCCTTCTTCCTGCTTGACCCTTTACCTGCTTTCTTTCCATCTGTTCCTTTCCTCAGGAAATCCGACAGCTACAGCAGAAGCAGGAGAGTTATATCAGGGAGATTTCTGATCTTCAGGAAACGATAGAGTGGAAAGACAAAAAGATAGGGGTAGGATTCTCAAGTTGAATTGGGCAAGCGGCTTAGCAAACAGTTATTGCAGAATGTTTGGTTTGCAAAAGCTTGTGTGGGTGCATGCAACTCCCGTGTGACACAAAATTAGGAACAGAGTTCATGCACTAACTTAGCAAATTGATAGTAAAGTAACTGAGATTTGGAGTTAACTGCTTTCCCTGGCTGCATGGTGAGGGAGGCCTCTGGGCACTGCCTGGAGGTCACACCTCTCAGAGGTCCCTGCTTGGCCTTGCCTGGGTTTTTTCTCAGAAGGGTTTAAGGAAACTATGGGTAGCAGAAGCTGCAACCCACATAGTTCTACATCAAAACATCCCCAGGGTGGCCTCCTGAGACCCACTCCCTCTGCAAAGAGGCAGCCACCCACGTTCAGCAGTGACAGATAGGAAGACAGGGACCCCACAGAGCCATAGTCACAAAGAGCTTCTATAACATAGCAACTCACATGACCCAGCCCCGATGAAGGCCTAGTGGTGTGTGACCATGTGTCTGCAGGTCCACTGTGTGAAATGCACCCTGGCTGCACTTTACACACCCAGCAGCACTTAGCTAGGAGTGCCTGTGCACAGATGCATGTGTTCAGACAGGTTTACTTTTATCAGGGACAACAAACACTCATCATCTATGTGTAAAAATGATGGAAGAGTTCCCATTTGGGGGCTCTTCAGCCCTCCTCTTGGTTCTTTGTCTGTCCCTCAGTTAAGTGAACACATTGCTCGTGGGGACTTCAACACCGTGCGGGTGCAGGCCCAGCTAGACTCGAGGCCCTGAAGCCACCTCTGGGTTTCCGTGAGCGTGCTCGTGAGCTTCCAGACGCTAGCACCCTGCACCCGGCCACCGCACAGATGCTTGCTGCCTGTTCTGTCTGCTCCTTAAGCATCTTTCCATGTCTGGGCTGCTTAGTGTGTGGACAGTAGGGCCGCCTTCTCGCCGCTGCTCCTGAAGTAACTGCTCTTCTTGCCTGTCTTCTTTCTCTCTGCTCCACTGCACACTCAGGCCTTAGAGAGGCAGAAAGAGTTCTTTGATTCCATAAGAAGTGAACGAGATGATCTTAGAGAAGAAATAGTCAAGCTGAAAGAGGAATTAAAGGTATGAAGTCAAAGTCCTGTTTAAAAATACCCCGGTGGCCACAGCCAATTCTGGGCTTCTGTGACTGTGTCAGCTGTGTCTGTACTGTGACATTGGTGCACGCAAGGCGTAGTTCCACTGCCCTGAGGAATCACATGAAGTCAGTGCAGATCAGGGTCATTAGGTGTTCATAAGCACAAGTGATCTTGGAAGGACCTCAGGTTTGCAGCTCTGGGTGGCTTTTTTGTTGTTTTTGTTACCTGAGTTTTCCTCATACTCATTAGTAAGCCTTCTAGAATATTCCTCCAGGTTGGAAAATGTATTTGTGTCCTTGGAATAAAGCCTCCCCCCATAGACTTCTCCTGATGAGCAGTGTCTGGGCTAAGTGGTGGGGTTAGGCCCATGCTGGAGACCTTGAGACCTCCTGGTCCTGGGAGAAGGACAGTCCAAATCCTGGACACCGTGTCAAGGGGCCTGCCGCTGCTGGCTTGACACAGTAGAAGCCCAATGGGCAGCATCTAGAGGGCTCTGGAGTGCTGCAGGAGGGAGTGTTGAACAAGGCATGGCCCTGGTGACACCTTCAGTGTCGGGGACATGTCATGTCTGCTCTTAAATTCCCTGGTCAAAGCCAGAGCAATGAACCCGCAGGGCACAGGCCTGGAGTCAGGTGGCCAAGGATGCTCCTCAGAGGCTGTGCGCGCAGCATCGGGGAAGAGCTGGGAGGCAGGGGTGGCCGGCAAGTCAGGACCCCAGGGCTGCCAAGCGTCTCTCCGTGTCGTGGACATGCTCATTCTTTTGAATGCGGGCAGCGTTCCAGACCCCTTTTAATCCCCCAGCATGAGCCTCATTCCTTCCAGAACACCTGAGCACGCCTTTCTCTCGGGGCTGTGTGGCTGAGGGGCACTTCCCAGGGACGGCTTGGAGTGCCACTTGTGGCAGCTCAGGGGCTCTTATGCCTGGTTTAAAGGATCCCTGTTGAAAGTATCTTGTCACCAGAAAATTAGGTCCCAGGTAGGAGCCCAAAGGAGGCAGCATGTGGAGGAAGCCGCCACAGACTTGTGTGCTGGTGGAGCACTTACAAGCGTGGTGCCCAGGCACCTCTGCGTCCTTCTGGAGTCTCCCTCTCCAGGAAAAATAAAAAAAGTTTTAACCTGATATTTCTGAGTATTACAGTGAGCCTGGTTTTGTTCCCAGAAACATGGAATCATCCTAAATTCAGAAATAGCCAACAATGGAGAGACTTCAGATACACTAAACAATGTTGGGTACCAAGGCTCCACCAAGATCACTAAAGAGGAGTTAAATGCCCTCAAGTCGGCCGGGGATGGGACACTGGGTAAGTATGCGTTCCTGATCCCTTCATCTTTCAATCAGCCTTGGCTCACATTCCATGCATTTTTAGAATTGAAGCAATCGTAACTGATCAATTAACAGTCACACAGCATGCCATTTGTTCTGTCACGTCATGGTAATTTCTTGCCAATCAGTGTGAAGGCCCACACGCGTTGTCTGGCATGCACCTCCTCCAGCTTACCACAGTGGCTCGATCCACGTACCTCTGCGTCTCAAAGCTGTGAGTGTAAGCAGGGACCAGCACTGGGTGACCGTGCTCTCCTCAAATCTGTGCCAAGTGTGGCTTTAACCTGCTTCGTTATGGAGCTATCAGATCAGAGTAGCCGAGGCTGCGAAGTAGGTTATGTGGCCGCCAGGGCCTGCCATGCTGTCACAGCCTATACCCTGCTCAGCGTCCTGCAGGCACAAGGGGCACAGGGAGCACACACGGGTTGTCGGTCTCCACCCAGCTGGGTGGGGGGCAGGCAGTCCTGGGTGGTGGGTGTGGCCAGGGTGTAGGAGGCCTTGGTTGAGCATGCTCCTTCAAATGCCATGCCCTTGCTTCCGCACGAGGATCAGGTGGTGGAGTCCAGTGGATCATGGGATATTTTATATGATTTTCAACGACCTGCAGCAACTCACTAATATTCATCATACCGTCTGGCTTTGGGATAAGCCCTCAGCCAAAAGGCCTGGTCTGTCCCTAGTACCAGTTGCCTTCAAGTTTTTATCAGTGAGTCTGGAATAAGAGAGCCCATGATTTTTAATTGCAAATTAGAAGTTTTCAGCTTACTTAGTTTTATTTATGCAAATGTGGAAACCTGTAGGCTTTAGCTTCTCAGGACTCACCTCCCAGGGAAGTCCCTTTTTATCTTTACCACTCCTAAAGACAGCACTTGGAACTGTGTAAAAGTTGTTGGGAAGAAAAGGTGAATTAATGAATTGCCATCATGCCTTTAGAAGGGGTGCTGAGCAGGTAGGGATTGACCATGCTGCTCTTGTCCAATAGCTGTTTTGCATACCTTTTATAACCACCATGCGCTGCTTAAATGCCAGCTTTGTGATGGTCTTTAATGTTTTAGCTCACATATCCCGCCAGTAAAGGATTGTGGGAATTTATCAATACACATGTTATCTTTTAATGTACTTATGTGTACTGTTTCATTGATATAGAAAGTACCTCATAAGACACAGAATAATAGAAATTTTTAAAAGGTAAAATAAAACTAAATCGTAGTGCTAGTATCTCCCCTGTTTTCCTGGGGCCATGGCCCCAGTGTGGAGATGACTGGCTACAAGATTGTCAGGCTCTGGCTTCCAGTAACATGGTATCTAATAGGCGCAGGCTTGTTTAGAGAATCTCGAGTATACTGTTTGTTCCAAAGCAGTGTCAAGCTTCCTACTTGCAAACAGTGTCTTAATTAAGTGGTCCCCTGGCATCTAGCCTTGCCTCCCGCTGGGGTGCACAGGCTCCTGGGCTGAGCTGAGGATTCAGGACAGATGTGGAAACTCTTTCAGGAAGACAATGCTTGGGCAGTGGAGCATAGCTTTCTCTTTGCCTTATAGGAGCTATTTTAAAGGTATCCTCTTTGAGATGGATCTTGAGTCTAAGCTTCTGAAACTGAACTGGACATTCTTTAAAAACAACAATTTGAGAGCCACTTAGGGGCTCTGATCAGCAAAGCCACTTGATAACCGGAAAAGCACGAGGTGTCAGGATGTCCATTTGGAAATGGGAACGGACCTGCAGTCCATTCTTAAACCCATCATTTTGGGTTGTTTGGCTCTCTGATCCAGAGCTGTTTCTTTGTGTTAAAACGTGAATTCACCTTGAAAAGCTCATGCACTGCGGCACCAGCACACTGTTGCCTTGGAAACGGTGGCCAGGCCTCACTGATCCGATTCTTGCTAATGCAGTTGCTGCTTTGCCACACTGAAATAGCAGAAGCCTCCATTTCATGTGATTCTTTGATGACTCACTCTCTCTAGGAACTGGGCTGGGTGGGTATTAGAACCTGTGTTTACTTTTTAATATATGTTGAGTGGTCACCGCATCATGGGGTCCCTTCAATTCTCTCAATGGTCTTTTAGGAAGAGCCACAGAAGTGAAGGTGAAAAATGAAATTGTGGAGAATATGGGGAAAAGAGCAATCTTGCAGAATACTGAGCAAGAACAGCACAAAGAGGACACAGTAAAGGATTATGTATCACATCCTGGTGAAAATGTGGAGGAGCAGAAAACCTCTGGAGACAGTGCCCCGTCCCCAGGACCCAGAGCAAATGCTAACTGTGAGGAGCAGGTTCATGACCAAGTTCTAGAGAATACTGCTTTCCTTGAAAGTCCAGGGCAGGTTGAGTCAAGAGGGGTCATAGATGTGCCAGATGGTGAAACTGGGGCTTCCCTAGAGCAGCCTGGCTATGGGAGGGATTTAGACAAGGAAGCCCCAGTACCCACGAGTGGGCAGGACAGTTGCACTGCCTTGGATATCAAAAGCCAAAGTGAGCCATCTGTAGGAAGGCAGGAAAAAGAAAAGCAGGAGGATTGGAAAAGCGACTTGGAAGAGGTTAGCTCACAAACATGCCAGGAATCTGCTCCTGTGCCAATACCCGAAGTTGAAAGAATGAACAGGACAGACGTTGGAGGGCCAAGTGGGGGTCACCTGGGGAGTATAGTAGAGGCAGGGGGCGTGCCAGCTGGGGAGCAAGTGGGCACAGTGCCTGCAAGTCCTCTGAAGCATGGTGATGACCCAGTGACTCAAGGTGGACAGTGTGTGTTTAGCACCAGTGCAGGGCAGAGCTTAGAGAAGGAGCTCACCAACCGGGAGGCAGCTGAGCTGAGGGAGGCCCCAGTTCATAGCACAGAAGCCGGTGGGAAGAACAGTGCAGAAAAGGGTGGAGCTGCGGAGGTGAGGGATGAGGAGCCAGGCCACGCAGAACCCCAGCCCGTCCCTGGTGCTCCAGCAGCCAAGGGCAGCCATCAGGAAGCAACAGGCTCAGGTAGGGCCGATCCTGAAGGTGAGCTGCTTGCTGCCAAGGAACCAGAGGAAGAGAAGAGTGACCAGCAGGCGGAGGCATCAGAGTCACCCCAGAAGAAGAATAAGAACAAGAAGAAGAAAAACAAGAAGAAAAGATCACCGGCAGCTGCAGAATCCCTTGAGGGTGTTAAGAAAGAACTGAGCTATCAGGACGCAGAGGTGGGCGAGATTAAGGAAGAAGAGCAGGTGCAGTTTTCTGACAAGAAACGAGCAGTGGAACCACAAAATGAGGTGACCCAAAATCCAGAGCAGGAAATTGTGGCAGGAAGCGGGGAGCATGTTGGTTGTCCGGGGAATGGTGAAACGGAGTTGAATGGAAAGCTTCAGCAAGGCGACGGTGATGTGAAGACCAGGGCAGGGGGAGTGCCTCGCGGAGGCACGCTGAATCCTGAAGGTGGGACAGCTGAGTCGGCAGGGGCCAGTGCTAGTGATAAAGCATTAGATGAAGATGGTGATGCCAAAGCAGCCAGCAGCGCCCAGAGCAGTCCTCTGGAACCAGAGAAGGAAGAAGGGGACCGCAGCTCCCTGCTGGAAAACAGCCCCTCAGAGGACATTGAAGATGCCTCTCGGGCAGAGAGTGCCCAGAGGCAGGATCCGCCCCAACACCCAGGTCAGGTGGCTGACAAGGCCCAGGACAGCCTGGGTCAAGAAAGCAGAGAGTTGTCAGCAGCAACAGGGGGGACGGGGGACTCCAGTTCAGAGGGTGGAAGAGAAGCAGGAGAAGGAAGCGAGAGGGGCAAGAGCAAAGAAGACTGCACCATGTCCTAGGGCAGGGGGCCGCAGACGGGCAGCCGGCGGGCCCAGACCAGGTGGCAGAGGAGGCCCGACCCACTCCGCACAGCAAGTCCTGGCATCAGAGACGCCTTCCTCGACCTCACTGGCACAGTGCAGAACGTCCTACTTGATCTAGATGTACTGTATGACAGTGACTCACTTACCACATTAGCCACATTGTTACCTACAGGTTCGTGTTCAATCACTGAGGTTGTCACCCATATTAGGAAGAAAGACATTTGTTTTCAGAGTAAGTTCTGACGGAGAGCTTTCCAGTAGCAGCAAACAGTAAGGTATCCGTACTCTTTTTATATTCTAGCCTGAAGTAAAACTACTTCGCTAGACCCCAGGCCATTATGCATGTAGATGTGGACCAAATATATCAACATCCAATGAAATGACCAAATAGCACGCTTAGATTTCTGCATCATGAATATTGTGCATATTTAAACTAATACGTCTCATTCAAGTCTGCGTATTTCCATATTTGATTTTAACATGTACATTATAACCTGCATAGTATTTTATTTAACTGAAATAAATGTCCAAATGGCATGTAGGTCACTGAGTGATAAGATACGCACCTCAGGCCAATCATTGATCATCTTAGGGATAACAGTAAATGTCTGAAAGCACTAGGGAGGTCTTTTTGTTCTTTACCTCATGTATTTAATGTCATGCCAATACCCTTGGATCTCATTGTCCAGATGACCAAGTTTATTTTGTAGATTTTGACTTCACTTCGTGCTTATGAAGTATCAGATTCATTGTATATGAAGATTATTCTTAAAATATTTTTATCAAGAAATATGTTGAAATTGCATTTCCTACTGTGGTATTTAGACAAGGGCAGTCTTTTAAAATTTTTTAACTTAAAATTACTTCTCTTTCTGTTTGAATGTCTTAGTCATTATTCAAAAGAGCAACACAAAACATTACTTGTTCTAGTGCAAACTACTCATTAGATTAAACTAGGATATTTTAAAAAGTTGAATTACTTTTGGTATTTTGGTATAAATATTTTTATTTGTTATCCTCAGTATATTTTTACTGGAATTTTTTGTTTTGATCTGCCTGGAAAATTATATTTTTTCTATATAAAAAAATTTTAAATGATCATAAATTAAGTAAAAAGCAATGGTAAAGTATAAAATCACAAGGGAATGTATATTATGAATGCCATTGACACTTTATAAGATTATTGGAATTTGTATTAACTGTTACAAGATACAATTGAGTACAGAAACACCAAAACCTCAGTAAATTTGGAGGCGAACCTAAGTGTTACATAACTAAAATAAAAGCATTTTATAATTTAACAAGGCTGTGGTTTAGTCTGTGGGCTCCTTGACCTCTGACCCTGGCTGCTGTTCCACACAGTGACCCTGCTCCTGGCTGCTGACCCCGCAGGGCTCTGAGCCTCTATTCCTCACCGCCTGGCAGCAGTAGGTATGTGCCTTCCCTGGGGCCATCCTGGCACTGGTAGAGGGCCATGCTCTGGACCCCCCAGGTGGGGCCCAGCTGGAGGGTCTCCGTTTAAGCATGCCAACCTAGAGTAGTTGGGGAGAATGATCAAAGTGGCCAGTAAACCTGGATCGGTGCTGCTCAAGTGCCTGGAAGAAGAGGACAGTGGGTATGATGAATCCTCTCGTGCCGTGAACGCAGGAAAGTGGGGGACTCGCTGGAGGCTCCAGCCAAGGGCTCTGCAGGATGCAGGGGGCCTGGTCCACGTCACTGCAGCCAAGCCGCCTGTGTGCTGGAGCTGGAGCGTGTGTGGGAAGGCAGCTCTCGTTTCGACTTTCAGAGGCCCCCCCCAACCAGACACTAGAGTAACACCCTCTGGTCTTCTTGAGCTCCGTCCTTTTCCCCCAAGTTCTCCAGCAGCACGTGACATCAGGCACACCACAGGTCCTTGAGCTCACTGTCCAGCCTCTGTCATTCACCTGCTCATTTGTTCATTGACAAGCACCCTGGTCACTGAATAGCTGAAGGCACTGGCCAGTGGACAGGCACAGGCTCAGCTGTCTAGTGGGGTGCCGAAGCTGAGAATCAGCAGCAGACAATCAAGGGAGGAGCGTGCCGCAGCAGAGTCATGTCTTGGTCCTTCCAGTGCCTTTATGCAGACATCAGCTTCTGTGCCCTGTGCATGTGACAGCACCACAGCCCAGCCCCTGCTTGTCCTAGGGAGGGCCCTTCAGCCCCCAAGAAGTGATTAACTTAGGCATATTCAGTGTCAAGGCAATTTAGAAAGATTCCAGCAATAGAAGGTTCAAACTTAAGAGAATTGCAAAGTTCTCTCTCAGCCAGAGGAACTTAGGCTGAACAGAATAGAGAAAAGTGTTCATCCAACAAGATCTTAAAAACCTTGGTTGTGTTTCAGCCCCAAATCAGAAGATACCTATGATATTAAAATGTAAGTCTTTTTTCAAAATTATAGTTATGAGTCTATATAGAAAATAAGAAAGAACAGATTTGGGGCTTTAATTTTGTTATGCAAAGGTTAGAAAGCAGTAGCATTTTTTAAATCATTTTTAAGAATGAACTGTACTGCACTGACTACTTTGTATGATGTTTAGTACTTCTGATTAAAAGAACACCCAATGAACACCCAATGAAATTAACCTTCCACTATCACCAGAACCCTGGAAGGCTTGGGGTCCCTCTGGTCTGGTCCCTTCCCAGGAGACCCCATGGCCACTGAGCCAAGGAAACCAATAGGAAGATTCCTTCCAAATGCCCAGACCCCTAAACGAAGGGGAGGGAAGCACACTTGTGTGTCAGGTTCCGAATACGTGCTTGTCCTGCCATGATCAGATCTGTGCCGGCTGTCATGTGCTGTTAGTTGAATCGTGATGCCCCTGGATGGAGAACTAACAACACACAGGCCAAAGGAATGACTGAGGATCCCAGTACTTGTTTGCCTACCCAGGAAGTTTCTAGAAGTCTCTCCCTCTTTGTTCCCTATTCATGGATCTCTAAAATGTGTACCATAAAGTTTGCTGGAGTCATTAATATATTATTAATATGTAAAAAAAAAACATTTCTTTTTTTTAAACAGATTTCTTAAAAATGCAATTCTTTAGCAATATCATTAAAATACCTTTACTAGTCTTCTGATTTTAGCTTCCCAGTATAGGAGGAAGCCCTAAAATCAGGACTTGACCTTTTTCTGTGCTTCATTTCTAAACACTTCAGGGGCTGGCTGAGTAGTCTCCACCTGCCTGTGCAGGAGTATTTCTGACCAGCAAGGCTACTTGCTGCATAAATACAGGGTAATCCTGGGTCTTTAGTATTCTGGTTAGGTGTTAACGGTAAGTTTACCACTGATGTGCCATTTCACCAAGCAAGTTACACTTGTTGATTTTTAAAGCTTTGAAAAGTGGTACTTTTATTTTCTCTATATCAAGTTATTTTGCTTTTTTCCGTTTTCTGAAAGCTGTTTAGTTTTCCTTTTGTTCTCCTATTCAGCTTTAAAATTTCTCTTCCTAAAGTTCCTAATAGTCTCACTATAAGACTAAAAGTCAGATCACCTACATTTTTTTTTCACTAAGATTACATTTTAAAATTTATTTCCTACTACCTTTCTAAAATTTTAAAGTCTTCTTGGAGACTTCTTAGACTCAAATAATAAAAGATAGTAAAATTATACAATGGATATATGAGCTTCAGGATCATTTTCAGATGTATTCAGTGTTTTGTATATAGGAGTAAAAAATATGTATGATAAGATGAAAAGTGATATTGGATAAAAGAACCAAGTTTATGACCACGAAAAAATTAATTTCTGTGTTGGATGCATTTATGAAAGGGAAGAAATGAAGTAACTGTAAGACACCATTAGCCTTTAAAATGCATTTCCAGAAAGGATCCTGAATTTATCTTCTGCTTAAAAATTTCTCCTCTTTTGTTACATAGTGCCTTTCAAAATAGGGTTTTTGGAAAACAAATTAGAGAAAACCTGTAAATTGGATTAGAATGTGGCCAGATAGTTTTTTAAATGAAAACAAAGACACATTTTATGTGGGTTATTTTCTTCTCACACGGCAAATGAAAATTAATATTTTACTCGATGGAGAATTTAGAGCTAAGCAATGTGGGGCAGGGTCCCCTTGGAATCCGAGCTCAGGCAGGGGTCCGCATCCCTCCCAGAGATGCGAGACCACCACTGACTGGAAGTGCTGGAGCACCCCGAGGCTGGGCTGCTAGGCCTTGGACAGAGACCACCGCCCTGGGCCTCCCCCTTCTCTAAAGAGGGGAGTGATGGCCCACCCACCGGGCTCTTGGGCTGATACAAGCCGATGCACGGAAGCTGCTAGAACAGGGCCTGCCTATGTTGCCGAGTGTGTGCGGGTGCATCCCTGTCAGCATCGGTTCTCCGGATTTTACCTTTAAGCAGATGTGAACACTCCCAGGTCTTGGTCCCGCTGAACCTGAACGCTGTCGTACCCTCCTGCACAGAGGTGTTGGGGCTACACACACATTTTGTACACATCCTTATGTGCCTGGCGGGGGTGTGTAAAAACACCAACCATCCCTACGCTTGCCTTCAAAGAGTAACTGGGTTAGGGCATGTTGTCAGCGTGCTTGGATTTGTAAACAGAGTCAAAACTGTCACTGGTGAGTCTACAAGAGAAACAAGATAGGTACACCCGAGCGGTCAGCTCAGGGAGGAAGGCTGCCGTGGTGCTCCCGTGTGGCGATTCGGGGTGTGTGTTGCCCTGGCAACCTGAAGCGTGAAGCCTGTGAGCTCTTGTGTTGCAGTGTGGTTTGCCTGGCGTTCTTGCATGCTAACCTAAGTAGAAGACTAGCCTGTTTGCATGAGCCGGATGCTGCTCCCAGAAGTGAGTCGGGAGGTGGAGCCTCCCCTGGCTGAGTACCTCCCCGTCCTGCCTGGCCTCATCCACCGTGGTACGTGTGTAACTCTGCCTTCATCATTCATCTCACTAACCCCAACCAGCATCCCCTGGCGAGCCACCGCTGGAGGGCGCCGCGTGCCATTCACCCGAACCTGTGTCTCTCTCCTCTCTTCAGATATTAGGTTGAAAAAGCTCATTGATGAACGGGAATGCCTGCTGGAACAGGTAATGATCTTTTGATTACTTTAGCAGGGCACGCGAAACCACAAGCCTTCCCGTCCTGACATCTAGTGCACTCAGAAAACCCCTAGATGCATCATGCCTGAAAAGAACCATAAGCCAAACCTTAGCTTGATTTTGTCCAAACAGAACATCACACGTCACGCGAGTGCCAGGGAGGAGGTCTCAGAGACCTGAGGCCGCTGTGCTGAGCTGGGTACGTCCTAGTGGATTGCTGCTTGAATTGCACATTAGTGTGGAAGGCCCAGGCTAAGTGCTGAGACCAGGCCTTGGTTGCTGCCAGCACCTCTCCTCTCACTGGTGCTTGTCACCACCCATCCGCCTTGTGCCCAGTGATCAGTCCCTTCCGGCAGGCGTTTCTTTGAATGGTTGATCAGCATTGCTAACTGTGATTTATCTTCATTCTCTCTCTGACCTCAAGAAATCCTGGATACTGTCCTTGCCATGTTCAGGACGGTTACTAAATTATTCCACAACACCTTCTAAGGAAACTCAGTTCCTCTAATTTTCCTTCAGAAGCTACTAACCAAATGCATTTGCCTTACTTTTTACAATTCTGTTGAACACTCTTTCAAGACTGGATAAAGCATCTGTGGTGGCAGGAGTCTCGGGGATCCTGTGTTCTTTTAGAAACACCATCTGGTCTGGGGTGTGGCTCAGTGGCAGGCCATGGCCTGTCATGTTCGAGGTCCTGGGATCCATCCATAGCACCACAAAAAAATAAAACAATGTGAACTTTTAACACGTATCCACTGTCATTCTGCACCGTGTCCTTGAACCAGCAGGCACCCTGGTCTGTGTTTGGTCAGAGGTGCAGGGAGATGGCTACCCAGAGGATGCCGCAGAGGTCAGAAGCGAGCCAGAAAGCAGGGCAAGGCTCGCCACTGGGCACCTGCGCTCCGGCACTCCTCTGCAGCTGCCGATCCCACCTCCTGTTTCTCCCTGCCCAGGAGAGCAGGGCTGTGCAGACACCCACTCCCTGAAGACTGGCAAACACCTGTGCACAACCTGCAGCGCGACTGGGTCCTTGGCACAGCTTGGGGGGATTTAGTTCCTGCACTGCTAGGCCTGGAGACACCAGGTGGCCCTGTCTGGCTTCCTGTGAATAAAGCAAAGGTCAATGGCACACTAACTAACTCGCCATCCGTTGGCTGGTTCTTTGGGTGGCTTTATGTACAGCCTCCTCCTGAGTCCCCAAAGAATTTCACCTTCAGAACGACT